CGAAGCATGCCGACAGTCGTGTTTTTTCAGGCGTGTTTCCGCCTGCCCCCGCATATCTCCCCTGTTCCTCCTTCCTCCCGCTCCCTTGCACATCCTCCATGTGGTGGGGGCGGGGGAAGGGCGAGGCGGAGGAGGAGGGGGAGAAAGCGCTCCTCGTGGTTTGAGTCGTTTGGGGTTTCTCGTCCTGGTGTGAGTCGTTCGGGCCCTTCTTCCTGGTGTGAGTCGTTCGGGCTCTTCGTGGTGAGAGTCGTTCGGGCTCTTCGTCCTGGTGTGAGTCGTTCGGGCTTCTCGTGGTGTGAGTTGTTCGGGCCCCTCATCCTGGTGTGAGTCGTTCGGGCCCCTCATCCTGGTGTGACTCGTTCGGGCTCCTCGTGGTGTGAGTCGTTCGGGGCCCGCGTCGTGGTGTGAGTCGTTCGGGCTCCTCGTGGTGTGAGTCGTTCGGGCGCCTCGTCCTGGTGTGAGTCGTTCGGGCCCCTCCTTGTGGTATGAGTCGTTCGGGCCCCTCGTCCTGGTGTGAGTCGTTCGGGCTCCTTGTGGGGCCTCTTGGGGGCCTCTTGGAGCCTCTTGGGGCCTCTTGGGGGCCTCTTGGGGGCCTCTTGGGGGCCTCTGGGGGGCCTCGTGGGGCCTCAGGGGGCCTCTTGGGGGCCTCTTGGGGGGCTCTTGGGGCCTCTTGGGGGCCTCTTGGGGACCTCTTGGAGGCCTCTTGGGAGGCTCCTGGGGGCCTCTTGGGGCCATCTTGGGCCCTCTTGCGACCTCCTCTGAAGCGCAAAGGAGCGCTGCCCCCTGAGAAGGACAAAATGAGCCCAAAACCTTCGTAAAATCAATGGTTTGGCTATGAAGGAAGATGGGCGCGGCCCCCTCAGGAGGCCAAAATGGGGCCAACACCATAGTAAAATCAATGATTTCTGCTTCAAAGACGAGCAGAGGGGCCAAACTCCGTCCCCCCGTCGGGGCCAGAATCCTCGTGAGGGTCGTCGTTTTTTAACCCTCCCAGGAGTCGAAACAGACCCCTCCAACGACCCGCGGGGCGCCCTCTCCAGGCCCAGGGGGAGGGGGTAGGGGGAGGGGTAAACCCCTCCCCGGAGGGGAAGAAGGGGGGTTGAGGACAGAGAGAGCTGTCTAAACCACTCACGCCCAAAGGGCTGGTGGTATAACAAATCGAACAACATCGTTTTGAAAACTGCTGTTTTAACATCTTCTGGGGATCGCTCCTGAAAAGGCTTCTAGATGGTTTAAGTCAGTCATCTAAAAATGACGATTTCGCTAGGGACATCCTGAGAATTAATGTGTGTAACATCGGACTGTAACGGTTTTGTAAGGCATCAAGAAGGCCCCCAACGGCTCCAAACAAGCCCAAATTTGACCCCCAGGAGCGCCCTCGAGACGATCCAACATGGCGATTTCGTCTGAGACATCCTTACAGCAATGACATTTTCACAACATCGATTTCATCAAAAATGAGCGTTTCGCCTGAGACATCCCTTACACATGGGAACCCGCGAATTCGACAGATGTTCAAACACTAGCGTCTCGCCTGAGACATCCTAACAAAAATGATATCTTGGAGTGGCGGTTTCAATACCTCTCATGTTTAAAATCGCGCTCTCGCTGCATACATCCTCAAGAACATCGGGCGGGGCATGGCCAGCGAAAAAAGTGCTCATTCGTTCTTCACGTCTATTCTGCCGTGCTCTTTCGTTCTTGGGGTCTATTCTGAAATGCTCCTTGTTTTTTTTGTGTCGTGCTCCTTCGCTTTTCTAGCCTATTCTGCCATGCTCCTGGCCAGTTTCTGTCACAATCCTCTGTTCTTGGGGCTTATAATGCCGTGCTCCTGGTCGTCTTCTGCCGTGCTCCTTAACTCTTGGGGCATATTCTGCCGTGCTCCTTCGCTTTCGGGGTTTATTCTGCCGTGCTCCTTGTGTGTTTTCTTGCCTACTCCTTCTTCCTTGGGGCGTATTATGTTGTATTATTGCATCTATCTTGCCGTGCTCCTTAGCTCTCGCGGTCTATTTTGCCGTGCTCCTGGTCACTGGTCGTGTTTTGCAATGCTCCTTATTTCCTGGCGCCTATTCTGCCGTGCTCCTCAGCTCTTGGGGTCTATTCTGCCGTGCTCCTGTTTTTTTGTTCTGTCATGCTCCTTCGCTCTTGGGGCCTCTTCTGCCGTGCTCCTCAGCTCTTGGGGTCTATTATGCCGTTTTTTTTTTTTTTTTTTTTTTTTTTTTTTTTTTTTTTTTTGTTTCTGCCGTGCTCCTTCGCTCATGGGGCCTATTCTGCCGTGCTCCTGGTCTTTTTTCTGCCTGCTCCTTAGCTCTGGGGTCTATTCTGCCGTGGTCCTGGTCTTTTTCTGCCGTGCCCCTGAGCTCTGGGGGTCTATTCTGCCGTGCTCCTGGTCATTTTCTGCCGTGCTCCTTCGCACTTGGGGCATCTTCTGCCGTGCTCCTTGTCTCTTGGGTTCTATTCTGCCGTGCTCCTCGTCTTTTTCTGGTTTGCTCCTTCGCTCTTCGGGCCTATTCTGCCGTGCTCCTGGTCTTTTCTGTCGTACTCCTTGGCTCCTCGGGCCTTTTCTGCTGTGTTTCGGTTTTTTTCTGCCGTCGTCCTTAGCTCTTGGGGCATGTTCTGCCGTGCTCCTGGTCTTTTTCTGGCGTCTTTCTTCGCTCTTGGGGCCTATTAT